CTAGAAAATGAAGACTCCCCCCTCCAAATTTCCTGTGATTCTCAAATCGACAAAGTTTTTCTCAACTATTTGTGGTTTGCTACATGAATTTTTTTAGGTCATTGTTGTTTATTGTTTGCTAGACCAAAAGCCGTCACATTTTTTTAGCGTCTTACTCAGTTAATTCGGTCTACCTCTATCCTTCACATTTTCGGCAATCACATCACTCTTCCTTACTAGTGCAAGCTCTTTAATAAAGATGTCCAAGCTATATTAGTCGCTTGTTTCATAATTTATTTTCTATTGATGCTACTTCTATTGTTTTACTAACATACCAATTACTCATGCTGAATTCTATCCTCTCTGGTTGTACTCTTTCACGGAAAAGAAGTCATCTTGTTCTTTTATGTTTGCTTTGGTTGTCTTTATACTCTCTCTAAGTTCTACTTCTTTGATATATTCTTTAGAACTCCTTTGACTATCTTGTCTTTTTGTATTGTTTCTAAAGAGCATTTCTTAGGCTAAACTAATGTGTCCTGAGGTAGTTTCTGACATAGTTCCCATTTTTTTCTCTCACATTGGAGCAGAACTTATGCCAGCAAGTACATACCCATCATTGCCAGTGTTAGTGAACATCAACCTCCTACTTGGCCGTCTTACTTTATGGACATTAATGTCTTGGCTTTCTTGGTTCCAGCTGGCATTACTGTAAGTTCTTGATGATCGACCTACCGGTGCTTGTGAATATGCTTAATATTTTTTTTCAACTTTCACATCCTTATTTTTGTCTATTGCTTTTGTCTAATGGGCTTTTACACCATGGTCTCCATGTGTTGGTACTTGGCAGGCATGTTTTTTGCCGCTATCTGATGCAAGCTCTTTTGTGATCTTGTACATAGTAACATCAGTATATTTTTCTGGTGTCATGGTAAGGACAGTATTAAAACATCTGACTTCACTTATTTGCCATCTTCTTTCTGCCCCCATTATCCTTGACCATTATGGTTGTGGGCTAACATATCAGGTACGGCTAATGCTTGTACTTGCTCCAGCGGCATGCATATTGTCTGGTATTGCTCTTTCTGAAGCTTTTGATGTTTTTACGGGATCAATCAAATTTCAGTTACCTGGCATATCTCGAAACTCCCAGATTGATGTGAGTATGCTGTTTCTTTATTTTAGTGTAATATGTTGTTACATTCATTATCAGATACTCTGCTTCTGGACTAAGATCCTTTGTATGGTGTTGACCATTAAGGCAGGGGATACTTCTTCTGCTGGTGTTGTCACCCAAGATGATGGTGTGAAGACTGATAAAAATGAAGAATCATTAAAGGAACGACCTTCCAAAAAGAACAAGAAGAAGGAAAGGGAAAATGCAGAAAAGGCTTTGATTAAGCCCCCGCTTGAGAAGAGGCTTCTGGTTTTACCTCTGGAGGCATCCGTCATTTCTCTACTTTTACTTGTGTTGCTGGGTGCTTTTTATGTGGTATGTATACATTATACATTGTTCTCCATCTTGTAATGGATCACAAGTGCATGTCCTACTGCATGGCAAGGAGATTTATCATTCTGTTGTATTTGATTGACATGCACACTGATGTTCTGTTACCCGTTTGACTATTATCACTGGAGAATGGTAATATTTGTGCTCAATCATAGATGTCATAATCATTCCTGTATGATATCATTTAGCTGCATGATGAGGCTTTCACCTAGACTCATTGAAGCTTCTACTAGAGTGAAAATGTTTGATCGGTGTTAAGGTCTTTGATGAGCATGGCCAAGTTTACGGTATCTGCCACCGACTCGGAAGGTACTGAGACAAATTGGTCGTGGCGTTAGAGAACAGTATCGAGCTAGATAAAAGAAAAAATTGGACATGACAAAAGAGTCAAACCATATTGCAACGGCACGGAACGGAACTATGAATTGGATCACTCAGCCAAGTCATTGGAGACGTATCCAAGTCAACCACGAGTCGAGTGAGGGTTGTAGTTTGCACAAAATGTGTATCGGTCATGTAATGGAATGTGTCAAGCCGAATACTACTCGGTCGAGTCATTGGTATCGGCCAATATTTTGACTCATGAGCCTGAGTTCTTTTTATCCCTAATCAAGGATCAAAATATCGTTTCGAAACGGTCAAATGGTCCGAAACGTTTCTGTTTTCAAGGAGACCGAAACGAAACAGTGATGAAACGAAATTCTAATATTTCGAGTTATTCCATAATGTTTTGAAATGTTTTATAATATTTCAATGCATTTGCACAATTATTTCGGAATATTTCAAGGTATTTCAAGATATTTTGATATATTTTGATCAATAATTTAAAAATAATTTTTAAATTTTTTATTTTTCTCATTATGCTTCTAAAACGAGTCAAAACGTTTCCGAAATACGTCGAAATGTTTCTGTTTCCTAGGTGACCAAAACGAAATTTTAATCCTTGTCCCTAATAGGATGGAGAGTGTGAATTGCAAGATCTAATATACATGGATGAGCAGAAGACCGACAATATTGTAGAGTTTTCTGGACTAGAGGCTTTGATTGGAGATGGAGGTTTTCATCGGCCTTGATCTACTTCCAAATATGCAATGGCTTAATTTCTTCGTTTTACTTTGCACTATATATAGATATATGTATATGTGTTATGTGTATAACTGTACCTTTTATTGCGGTAAGTGTTTAGAACTTCCAAATTGCTATGTTCTTTCCCATCTTGCTTATATTCGAAAATAGCCTCTTGTGCCATTGGACTAATATTAATGAAACCTTCTAATATCCAGTATTTGTGAAGAGGTGCCCAAAAATAACTATTTTTTCAGTAGACTCGTGCTATTTAGTTTCTAATAAAGAACAGTGTAGCATGTAAAATACCGTACAAAATGTAAAATGTCTATGAATGGGACCAATGGGCCAACATACAAACATTAAAAATCCAAACACTTTCGCTGGGTCCCATAGGCCTAAAATTTTGGAGGTCAGATGAGTCTAAAACCTAGATACCTAACTGTAGCTGGCATACATGCTTGAGTCTTGTCACCCATTTAATAAACAAATCATGTTTGGATTAGCGATTTTGACATGAGTAACATGTTCAGGTTGACCTATTTTTATATGATTAACTTTGAGATGGTATAAACCTAACATGATACGATGTTGTTGCCAGTCCTACAGTGTCCCCCAACTCCCTTCCAAGAAAATATAAAAACTGATCGAAACCGCTTTTATATATGACCTGTTGTTAGCTTTTATATTTTGAAAATTGCTTGGCTTTCTGTTGGAAGTTTTGCACTCAAAATCAAAATCCCTGGTCTCCTTGTAGTTTTTACTTTTTACTCGGAAGACCTGACCTTTTATTTTGTGTCTCTCTTTTCTTGTTCAATTGCGTTCTTTTTTCTGTGGCCTTCCCTGCATATATAAGCTTATTTCTTCTTGCAGGTACATTGTGTCTGGGCGGCAGCAGAAGCATATTCTGCCCCTTCTATNATTTATTTTGTGTCTCTCTTTTCTTGTTCAATTGCGTTCTTTTTTCTGTGGCCTTCCCTTCATATATAAGCTTATTTCTTCTTGCAGGTACATTGTGTCTGGGCGGCAGCAGAAGCATATTCTGCCCCTTCTATTGTGCTAACATCTCATACAAACAATGGTCTTCATGTTTTCGATGATTTTAGAGAGGCCTATGCATGGTTGAGCCACAATACTGAAGTGGATGATAAAGTGAGTTCCACTTGGTGTTTTATATAGTTTACTGCAAATGTATTCTGCTGTTCTATATTCTTTTTGACAGCTACCAGTTAACTGGTTTGATCAGTCTGATGTGTCAGTGTACTATTCTTAAGGTGTCTTGTTTTCAAGTGCTTTTATTTTATATCTATTGTCTTATTTGATAATGCTATATTACTGCTTTCTATTTGTCTTTAATCTTCTTAATTCCTTGTTCAAACTTTAAATGTTTTTCACCATGTAATTTTTAATGCTATAATTATGAGCTATCTTGTTAAGTCAGTATTAATTGATATACTTGAATTAGCTAGGATGGTAGCAGTCATGTGTAAGTTGAATCCAAGGTCCTAGAGGCGAAGGCAGCTTTGGATTTAGGCTTGAATCATTTGGTGTGATTTGTTATGCTTATCAGTGCAGGTTTCTATTGTGGCGCTATCTCATCCTCTTTGCAAATTGGAGTTAAAAAAAACTCAGCGTAATGGCAATTCCTAATCAAGGAATATGTTGACCAGGTTTTGTGATATTGATTATGCCAATCTATTCACTTGCAGTGGATTGTTTTAGTGTCTAGCATGATTGCTAGCCAATTGCATCTTCAGTAGTTTCTGTTGAGCTAGCACGGAGTTGACAAAGTGAAGACGTTAGGTGATATTGATTGTTTTCTTTTAACTTCTTTCAGGTGGCATCCTGGTGGGACTATGGTTACCAAACAACTGCTATGGCTAACCGCACTGTCATTGTTGACAATAATACCTGGAACAACACACACATTGCAACTGTTGGTACCGCCATGTCATCTCCTGAAAAGGCAGCTTGGGAAATTTTTCACTCTTTGGACGTAAAATATGTTCTTGTTGTCTTTGGAGGTTGGTTCCCTACCTTCAGGAAAGACTTAACAAAAAATGGGCAGGAAGTAGAAACACTTACCTCTAAATTGTGTAATTGCATTTCAGGTCTTGTTGGCTATCCTAGTGATGATATTAACAAGTTCCTATGGATGGTTCGGATAGGAGGGGGTGTATTCCCTCACATCAAGGAACCTGATTATCTTGTAAGTAGTTAGTCCTAGTAATTGCTAATTTTAGATTAAAATTTTCCATGACCATCTTCTAGTTGATGTAACTACATTACCAGATATTAAGCTCTGACTCCATTAGGTATTTTACAATTTAGTAATCAAGGTTGAATGCACATGGTCAAATCCTATACATAACACCACCATGTCCTGCTTACATGTTCAAATGTGTTTGTTCAGTGTATGGGAAGAAGCGTTGAATTGCTTCTAAGGGGAAAATATGAATAAAATGGAGAATTGCATGTAGGAGAAAAGCCTCTGACAGGCTTCAAACTTATGATGCCATTTATTTTTCTTAAAAAGAAAATATTCAGCACGAACAAGTTCATGCACATGAGTTTCTAATGTACATCTACTGTATTAGTTGATTTTTGTTGGCTATATTAGTTATCACCTACCACCATTGCATTGATCTGGCCTTAGCATCGAGTATTTGTTCCCTTTGCTTAGATTTATTTCGCTTATTTGTAAAATGCTAATTTAAAATAATAACCCTTTCCTTTTGTCTAAAAGAGAGATGGCCAGTACCGGATTGATTCTCAGGCAACTCCAACCATGCTAAACTGCCTCATGTACAAACTATGTTACTACAGGTGTTGTTTACTTGAACATCATTATTTGTATGTGGGTTGTGGGGTTTATACTTGCTTCGGCTATTTTACATCCTTGATTTTGTCTTGTGCTATCTAGATTTGTGGAGACAGATGGTCAAGGCTTTGATAGAGTCAGGAAAACTGAAATTGGAAAGAAACATTTTAAACTAACCCATTTTGAGGAGGTGTTTACAACTCACCATTGGATGGTCCGGCTATACAAACTAAAACCTCCAAAGAACAGGATCCGGGGAAAGACCAAGAAATCGAAGACGGTATGTGTGATCAATGTCTCTCCATCATATTGTTTAGTGTATGTGGGGGTATGTGCATTCCAGAGAGTGCTCTAATATTGACTTTATCGTTTTGACTCTCTGTTTTGCAGAAAGCTAGCTCGACTACCGGCTCAAAAGGAAGTGGCAAGAGAAACCCTTGGCAGTAAAAGCATTTTTTTAGGAATTTTTCTCAGCTCAGTTTTATTTGTAATACATATATATATTGGTATTTTAGTCTCTCGAGAGGGATTGTGCTGGATAAGTCG